CGCTTTCGGTCGTGTAGTATGAACGGACATCTGCATATGATCGGAACTCCACGCAGCTCCTGCGCTACTCTCCATTGGAAATGAATGACTGAATGACTGGTCTGTCGCTTGTCGGAGACAGTGGAAAGCCGGCTTGAAACGCAGTGGAAACGCCAGTATGACGAGGATTGTTCGTTTTCATTTTAAAACATAAACATCAATAACCAGTGTAAATGTAGTCTTACATCTAAGGGGGCTGGGACGCATTCGCACTACAGCCTCACGTGTGCGTCACATCTCTGAGTGTAACCGGTGTGAACTAGTAGGTGTGTTCGACTTGACGTGGACTCTTATTGGCTCACTGACGCTGATGAGATTAACCCCTTAGGTATCAACATTTGGTAACGAACGACAAGATGTTTTTCGATGCTCGATGGTATCGAGGCAATTCTGTCGGTGCCTAAAAAGTATCGAACTAGACCAAGCCCTACTGCTGTGATTACATGCAAGGGATTTGCAATTAAATATTAGCTTTTAAACTTTTACAATTGCTTTAAGTTCAACTGTCCCAATACTTATGCTCACATCAGATAGGGGGATGAAACTCTAGAAGTACTGATCTTCTTAGTTGGTAAAACATGTATGTGTAGAAACAGGCAATAATAAAATGTGACGTACTATAGCGGCTGTGATTGCCTCCGGCACGAAGCCTGTGGCCTCGTGCCTCTGGCCTAATCACAGCCATGCTAATATAAAGCCGGTATCGCTCTCGTACTCGAGTGATATTGCTCTTATATATAAAATATTTTATTATATCTTTTCATGTGACAACACTGAAGAAATGACACTTTGCTACAGACAGCACACACAAACACATGCTGAATTGAGTGCTGTGCCTGCCTGTATAACTTCATGTCTCATATAGTGAGGCTGCAGACGTTAAAAACCACGAGAGTCATACGTGCTTGAGTAGTGTGTAGTAGTAGACAAAACTGCACCATTAATTCACACACAGAACATGCAGACTTCATATTTAAATATAAATACAACTTTTAATTGAAATGGAAAATTTACCATCAAGAGTTTTTTTTCCCCCAACCTTTTGTTTCCCCAAAACATGTACTTATGGTAATGCTTTTCCATAAAAAATGCACAATGAGACATTTACAGATTGCAAGATATTGTCAGATGAGGTAAAAACAGTTTTGGCCCTTGTGCATGTGTGTGTTGTGTACAGTTGGGTCACACATACCAGCAGCTGACGGGAGACTGGCAGAGGCAGCAGGTGAGGAAAAGTCAGCAAAGTCACCAGTGAGATCTGAGCTTCCACCTGCAAAACATTAAGATGACATGAATAGTCTTTAGAAAGCAACACAGTTTAGAACAGAAGCTCAAAAATTTGAGGTAGGTAAGCCCTTACGCAAAGAAAATATATTTCCTTATATATGCATGATCAATATATTAAGTGATTGAACGGTATTTTGAAAATATACAGAATAATATATTTTGTTAATATATTATAATATATTGGATAATACATAAGGAACTTACATGTTTCATATGTTCATATATCGCTAGTTAACAACAGCACAAGCACACTTGCATATACTTAAGTATTTAGCAAAGAGACTATCAGCGTGATGAAGAATGCACAGCCCTTACTTTTTAAATAAAGTAATATATAGTCTTAATGGTGTTAGGCCAGTCGTCAACCTAACCACAGGCTCTACTCTTCAGCACACGGTAACCCCAAAAACATACCAGACATACCAGAAACCCTTTTCAATTCCAAAATAATAGAACATTAAGCACTAACAGATCTCCCCCTATATTAATATTGAGCAAAACCACATGAAATAACTTAATTTTAAGATTAAGTCAGAAGCAAAGCATGCTGGGAACTAGAAATCTGCTGTAGCTCATTCTGTGAATGTGTGTATATATGTGTACATATATTCACATTTATATGGGAACATGTATGTGCAATATATGTGTACAATAAAGGATAAAACCTTATGAATATTACATGTAATGCTATTTTTGTCTTCATTTCTAAATATTTTTATAGGTATCAATATATAGCCATACATGGTCAATAAAAAGAAAGAAAGAAAGAAAGAAAGAAAGAAAAATTGCACACATACAGTGATCCAAAGTGACAGTAAAAGCATTTATAATGAGAAAAAAATTATATTTCAAATAAATGGTGTTCAATGAACTTTCTATTTATCAAAGAATCCTGAAAAAAATGCATCATGGTTTCTACAAAAAATATTAAGCAGTAAAAACCTTTTCAACATTAATAATAATGATGATAACTGCTGTTCATAATTGAGCAGCATATTAGCATATACATTTTTTTTCATTAGCAATGTTGAAAACAGTTGCGCTGCCTAATATTTTTGTGGAAACTGTTGACTTTTTTCAGGATTTTTGATGAATATAAAGTTCAAAAGAACAGCATTTATTTGTAAAACATTTTTTTTGTAACATTATAAATATCTTTACTGTAACTTTAGATTGATTAACGCATCCTTACTGAAAAAAGATTTTTCACAATAGAAAAAAAATCTATTATTTACATCAAAATAATATATTTTTTTCTACTGTGGCAATGCAGAATAGTATGGAAGCCCGTTTCCGCCACTGAATAAAAAATAAAAGAGGTAATTGTGACTTTTTATCTCACAATTCTGACTTTATTTCTCAGAATTGTGAGTTTATATCTCACAATTCTGACTTTATTTCTCAGAATTGTGAGTTTATATCTCACAATTCTGACTTTATTTCTCAGAATTGTGAGTTTATATCTCACAATTCTGACTTTATTTCTCAGAATTGTGAGTTTATATCTCACAATTCTGACTTTATTTCTCAGAATTGTGAGTTTATATCTCACAATTCTGACTTTATTTCTCAGAATTGTGAGTTTATATCTCACAATTCTGACTTTATTTCTCAGAATTGTGAGTTTATATCTCACAATTCTGACTTTATTTCTCAGAATTGTGAGTTTATATCTCACAATTCTGACTTTATTTCTCAGAATTGTGAGTTTATATCTCACAATTCTGACTTTATTTCTCAGAATTGTGAGTTTATATCTCACAATTCTGACTTTATTTCTCAGAATTGTGAGATATAAACTCGCAATTCTGAGAACATATCAGTCTTTTTTCCCCCCTCAAAATTGGACTTTAACTCTTATTGCGAGTTTATATCACGCAATTCTGACTTTATAACTCGCCATTCTGACTTTATAGCTCGCAATTGTGAGATATAAACTCGCAATTCTGAGAACATATCAGTCTTTTTCCCCCCCTCAAAATTGGACTTTAACTCTTATTGCAAGTTTATATCTCGCAACTCTGACTTTATAACTCGCAATTGCAAGTTTATATCTCACAATTCTGTGAAAAAAAGTCAGAATTGTGAGATAAAAAGTCGCAATTACCTTTTTTTAATTTTTTTTATTCAGTGGCAGAAACGGGCTTCCATAGAATAGGACCGAATGATCTGGATGCGTGACTAAAATTCAGACGCACAGGCAAACACGTGTCCATCCACATACACACAATTAGGTTGTCACAACCTGATTGCAACAGCTCTTGACCTCCTGACTGATGCTAGCACAGCACAGCTGTTGGGCTGGTGACAGGATACGGAGGGACAGCAGCATCTGTGCACCCATCTCCTATTCGTTCTTTCTCTCTCTCACACACAACTCACACCCATCTGGGGCACTTAGATGTCTCTGACTGCATCTCTGAAGAACTTCCATAAGTATGGCTTAAAAGCTACATCAACTCTCAGGAAAAAGTTTCTGTCTGAGTCCCTGCATGAAGGAAATTGGGCTCAAAAATGAACAATGACCAAGTAGTAAATGTTATATGCTCCACACACATTGAGCCGTGGTGTCCATTCAGCAGGTGTGGGGGTTTGAATTGGTTTGTGAGTGGTATTTAATCCCCTAACCCTAAGTGTAAGCAATAGTAACAGTGATGCTTAGCAAAAAAAAATACTCGTTGAAACGCGGAAAATGCAGCTGATGGGGTCTTACCTGAAGACACTGGTTGACCAGAGCCAGCTTCCACCATCAACAGATCTGCAAGCCCTGTGCTGGATAACTGACTCACTGATGTCTGAAAAGAGAATGATTAATGTCACATTTCACTTCTACCACATGAAGGCAGCACAGGCTTCCTTTTGCAACCCTAATCACTTCACAGAAAGGACTGTATAGGTGCATTCAGTTGTTTTTGTTTAGGTTTTGCAGGTTCTTTTTCAGGCTCTTTTGTACCTGGTTGTGGTCAGCATCTGGACTGCTTTTGTCACCAGTGTAATGAGCAGCTGCGCCCAGGTCAACGGTTTTGGATGGGACTCCGCCACGTTTGCGTGTAGAGGTGGTGGTAGTGGTGGTGGAGGTGATTGTATCTGTGGTCTGTGTGATCTGGATGCTCTTGGTTGTTACAGTCTCCTCATCATCCTTAAACTCTGACTTTGCAGGACGACCATTCTGTGAAACTCTGTCCTCCTCATTGTCACTGCAGGAAGAGGCAACAGTAAGACAAAAACTAATATAGTAGCTAGCTACTAAAAGTTTATACTATAGTGCAGAACTGTGTTAGTTCAAGTAGATTTTCAAAGTTAGCATGAAATGAAAATTCACCCTATCTATTTTCTAAATGTAAGTTATTGATCTTATTGTCCACCTCGTAATTCTTACTCAAAATGTTATAACTTGATCTTCTGGTGAAATAACAGACTTCTTTCTGGTGACGTATGCCAGACTTCCCTAATCATTTAGTTTTCTTAATCCCAGCCCCTTTCTTACAATTGGCTTAGATTTAGCCGATCTACCTCCTTTCAATCAACAACTGATGGATTTAACCAAGCCCGCATTCTACATTTTTCCTTTTCAATAAACAGTTTCACTCAGATGTATATCACAATATTTTACGAAAATATCTGTCGTTACTTCAGTTACATAGCTTTTCATTCTATGGCTTTATTAATTCTATGGACTGAAAACTCAGTCATGTACCTGATACGGTCTGGTGAGTCATCCCTCTCCTTCTTGCGGAATTTGCTGATGGTGTCATCAATGGTGCTTCCAATTTTGTCACTTATCTCCCCGAGTTTTTCACTGAACGGGAAGCTGCTCTTGTTTTTCTCCCAGTCCTCGTCCCATTTGCTTTTAGATTCGGGGTCAAACCGTTCTCCCGCTGAGAATGTGGATACAAAATCAGTTAGGTGCTGAATTTGTTTCAGATATTTAATGCTTCAGATTGAAATTCACTAAAGGCCTGTTCACATCAGGGAAGATAACAATATCGATAACTGAAAATTTATTAATTGTTCTAATTCCATGAGAAGAGCGAGGTCCAGCTATAATGACAACGGCACTTTCAGAACGATTTTTCCAGCTGATGTAAGATAAAAACATTGACAGTCAATTAAAATCCATTCTGCTTCAAATAACTTAAGCACTTTAAACGGCAAACGACATAACTGCAGCACACTTATAATACAGTTATCGTGCGTAGGTGTAGGTGCTATATCTTTACAGTTATCGTGTGTGAATGGCCCATTGGAAGCTATTTATTGCCTGCTTTCAAAATACACTAAAACAAAGCATTAACTTCAGCACATAATAAGATATTTATGATAATTAAGTATATTTAAGACTTTTTATGACCTCAAATTTGATCAAACTAAATTTATTTTATTTATTTATTTTTTCCTTCTTAAGGACCCGCGGGTACCCTGGATTGAGGTGAAAACTATAAAATAAATAATTTACATAGAAAGGTAGTGCGTTTTGGCCTGAAAAAAACAACGGCTTTAATAAGACAAAGGTTTTTGCATTGATACACCACATACAGAAGTGATGTAATATTTTTCATTTGCCCCCTTGATGGACTTGCCCACAAATGCACTTCAAACTTCGAAAAGTATGGAAAATACACCTGACTAAAAACTCAACAAACTTAAAGTAGCCTATAACATAAAATCAAGCTGTCTGCCCCCTCTGACTCTGCAGTATTTTTATCTTTCTTCACCAAAACAAATCCATCACTGGCATGTCATCATTAATTGGCAATTTGAAACTGTAGTACAGCTAATAAAGGGAGAAATCTGAGCAACAAATCAAAGCAGAAACCAAGCACAATCTTTTGACTTTGCACACAAGTAACATCACTAATGACATGACAAGGGACGTGGCATCTTGACTTGATTAGACAGCTCTAAGAGAAAACATGTAATACAAAAAGCAGAGATCTGATTATTTCTTCTAACCTGATCATAAACTTCACCAAATGATGCAGTGAGCAAAGATGAAAAAGTGATAGCCCTAAAATCAAAACAGCTCTAATCAAAAGATCAGTCGTGGGAAGAAGGAAATCCAGGGGGAATTTTCCTTACAATGCAAGAAAACTTCAGAGGGCCTAAAACAAATCCCTGTGGGACGCCTACAGTACACAGACAAAGCAGCTCACTTTTGGGGTCAAACACAGTTTCAAGAGATGAAAATAATGCCTCAAAATGACCTGTGATAAAAGGGAATTCTTGGTTTATTTGATTACCAATAAAACCACTGGAACAATCACCACAACATCACAATACATTTAGGAAATACTAATAATAAAAAGCACCCGACAGAAAGAACTATTATATCCTATCTTATATCAGATCCTCCGGAAATATCAGCAATCTCTTTTTTTTTTTTTGGTTAGCATACAATTTGGCATGCATTTGCTAAGTATACTGGTGTAAGAAGTTGTCAGACTGTTAAGTCACGAATGATGTAGGCATGACCAGTTTGGCAGACGTATCTTTTTGCCCATATTCATGGAATGCCTCAAATAACTTTTATCACGTTTTTTTTAGGTTTGCAAGAGTTTGGGGAAAAACAATCTGTTTGTCCAACCAACAGCAGACAGCAAAACATCTGTGAAACCTGTTTGGAAAATGTTCAATAAATGGTTGCACTAGTTAGTGGCACTAGTGGTTGTAGAAATCATGTACTTTCAAATTTAGAAACTCTCAAATTTGCTACACTTACAGTTACTTTCTTTGAAGCCTCCCATGCTGTCAGAAGATACTCCAATGTATTTGTCTTTATTCTTCTTGGCTTTCTTCCTCTCTTCACGTAACCGGTCATCATCCTGAACAAACTCTACCATTTCTTTTACCTTCTGCCGTACGTTAATGCCCTGGTCCTTTCCATTTTCATCTAGCAAAATAGAAAAGAGCTTGTCAAATCATATGGAACTGTTTGGTCCATTTAATCTTGTTTTTGCAAAATCTCCATTAGATACAGTATGAAAAATCAACAAATGTCAGAATGTGACCCTACACAAAAATTCCAGTAGTTCAGCAAATAATATAGTGCCATAGTCAACTTTTCTTTGTTGGTAATGCCTGAATTTTGCCATTTGCTGCATTGATGTCCTACAAAAGCCTTGGTAGGCTACAAAATGATTTCTTGTTGTTTGCCTAATTAAAGATTAATTGAATAAAAATTCACAAATACAATGGTGTGAAGGCAAACCTTTTGGGTTGAATACCAAAATTAAATCAAAGCTACTGATGTGCTAATGTTCATGAATTGTCTCGGTAGACGACTGAAAATGTGTGTAAAATGATGAAAAATTAAACAGAATCGCTTTTGAAAAGCCACAGAATCTTTGAAACATTTAGAACAAGGCACAGCACTTTAAATAGCTACAAAAAGGAAACAGACACTAACACCTCTAGCACTGACTATGAAGACCTGTTTCGTCATTCACTTATCAGACAAATGTAGCTTAAAGATGTAGTGCCTTCAGAAAGAATTTACCACTTTTATTTAAAATTTTTTTTGCTACATCTCCAAATTTTAACAAACGAAATTTCTTCTTTCTCTATAATGAAATATTAACATAACTCGTGTACAAATAAGCTTTCCAGGTCTTCCTGTCGGAGAACAACTCAAGAGCATGAGGCTACGTCCAGTATGCTTGACACCTGGGAAGTATAACTTGGGTGTTGAGCTATATTTAGGTTATGATAAAGCAATGTTTTTAGGCCAAAGAGCTCAAATTTGATTTCATCATATCACACTCTGCTATACTTGTTTGCTTATATTTTTCCATTTGCATACTACTTGAATAAAAATTCTCAAATAAGTTCCTTTTAACCTTTTAATCTTTTCATCTCCTTAAACTCACCTACAAAATGATAATTTTCCAAAGAGCGCAGGTCGTAGATATGTTCTCTGGTGCTGGTGACCACCCGCTCTGACCCGTTTCTGATGAGGTACGCTAATAGTAATAAGGCCTGAACACATGGAAAAGGGCATTATTCTGGATATTTCCAAATCAAGCAGCTAAAAGAGTTAAATGCAGGATTTGGGGTAAAAAATAAGTTTACTTTTTTGTACACTGAAGGGAACAAGTCAAAATTATTGTTTGGACCCAACAACATGCTACAGATGCGGCACACAGACATCACGACAATAATTTTCAATGAAGCATTCATTTATGTTTTATAAAACCTTTGTGTGAGGAAATGAATGAAAATTAGCAATAGACCGACACACAGGCAGGGCCTATGAATTGGCCAATATCTGGACTTTGGCTAAATATGTCTAAATGAAGTCTAAACTTATTTTCAGTAATTGTGTCTCATTTGAAAGTATGATAAAAGATGAGCAGTGCACCTGTACCTTGTAAACTCTCCTCCAGTTCTTCTTGTTGTCTTTCAGCATTCTAGTCCAAAGCATGTTCATAACTTCAGGGAACTGCTCGTACATAAATGTGGATCTGCAATAAGGTGGATTAGTCACATTATGTACAAAGGCTTTATACTAACTACTTAAAGTAGGAGATTCAAAAACTGAAATGATACCACGCCAAATTGGCTAAATATAAAGTATTGTAACCAGGGGATAAATTGGGCTACAACTATCTGAAATAGATAGTCCTCTCGTTCAATGAAATAAATAATGAAATAAAAATTCTCTCTTCCAGTGGAACCACTGAATAAAATGCAGTGATTCTGAAATGGCCCAGTTGATATGCAGTAGCAATTCTTTATTTATTAAAAGTTGTATAATAGAGCATGTCATTGAATCTGTCAAAAACAGGAATTATACCACTGACAAACTAAACAGCTTTAAAGATTGTATATTTTCCCATATATTTAAAGTTTTTTTTAATGATATTATCTGTTATTTTGTGTTTCCTATGTAAAATAGGAAGTCGTGGCCTAATGGTTAGAGAGTCGGACTCGTAACCCAAAGGTTGCGGGTTTGAGTCTCGTACCGGCAGGGATTGTAGGTGGGGGGAGTGAATGTACAGCGCTCTCTCCCACCTTCAATACCACGACTGAGGTGCCCTTGAGCAAGGCACCGAACCCCCAACTGCTCCCCGGGCGCCACAGCAAAAATGGCTGCCCACTGCTCCGGGTGTGTGTTCACGGTGTGTGTGTGTTCACTGCTGTGTGTGTGCACTAAGGATGGGTTAAATGCAGAGCACTAATTCCAAGTATGGGTCACCATACTTGGCCACATGTCATGTCACATTGTGACATGTCACGTCACAATATGTTGATATTACTAACACAGTGTTTCTATCAAGGTTTGGCATTTTAAAATACTGCCAAACCATCCATCCAGTTACTGATTTTAATGTAGACTGCTTTTTCACAGCTTTCACAATTTAACACGACACTAAATTCATCTAAAAAAAACTGCATCTAAAAACTACATGAGGGGGTAATGAATCAACTTTCAGACTATCTCAAGTCTAAGGCATGATGCAATGCAACTGAAATCATCAGCTATCAATGATGAGATAATTCTTAAGTAATTGCCCTACACAAATGTCTTGCGGTAATTGAGAGTAGAGTCATTGAATGCCTGAAGACTGAAGGGAACACATAGTCCTTCCACCACCCAGCAGGCTGAGCACTTACTTGGCAATCTCTCCCATGAGCTGGCCCGATGGGCCCCAGGGGTCATCATTGGTGGCTTCTCGAACCTTGGACTCTATCTCTGAGTAGTTCATCACAACATTGGTGCTGGGAAACAGAGAAAAACAAAGAACCACAAATAAACACCAGGCAACCACACACAGACACAAGTCCATATATTGTTGCACATGGAGGTGTTGAAATAAAAAAAAAACTCTCTCGAGCCGGTCAGTTTTGGTCAACTGGTGTGTATTTTGGACTGATAGGAGAGAACGGGCTGCCAAAGGTTTAAATGTGTTCAGAGTAGGGCTGTCGCGATTCGTCGATTTTATTTGACTATTCGATTTTTAAAAATCCTTGACTTCATTTTGCTCGCGTCGACTAACCGGCAAAATACCGGAAGTGGCGCATTTCACAGACGAGAATGTATAAAACACATTATTAGTCTGTTTTGCAAGGCTGCATGATATATTAAACCCATTTAAAAATCATAATTAAGAATAATTGTGAATTTACAAACGCTACGATTTAATTAAATAATTATATGCGATGCAGTTCTAATACAGTATATGCGCTTTAATTATTTACATGCGTGTAGGTTGTCATTCAGAAGCATGGCTTTTCTTATCACTGCTATGCCGATGACACTCAACTCTACTTCTCATTCCAACCAGATGACCCGACGGTAGCTGTTCGCATTGCAGCCTGTCTGAGAGATATTTCTAGCTGGATGAAGGACCATCACCTTCAACTTAACCTTACTAAGACAGAACTGCTTGTGGTTCCAGCAAACCCATCGTTTCATCACAGCTGCTCTATACAGCTGGGTTCATCAACCATAACTCCTTCCAGGACAGCCAGAAACCTAGGAGTTGTGATCGATGATCAGTTTCACCGACCACATTGCTAAAACGGCCCGGTCCTGCAGATTTGCTTTATACAACATTAGGAAGATTAGACCCTTCCTGTCAGAGCAAGCCACACAACTTCTTGTCCAAGCTCTTGTTCTCTCCAGACTGGACTATTGTAATGCTCTCTTGGCGGGCCTTCCCGCATGT